ACAAACTGAAAAGTTTTAAAAAAGAACTGTCTAATTACTTTTGATCGTTTGTAAGAGTTAGGTGACGCTCTTTACACGTACGTGAAAAGATCTATAGATCATCACAACCGTAGTTTACTCTAAGCCAGAAATCAGAGAAATGAATGCCCCTCGGTAACTGTCGCTTTTTCTTTTAGGTTCAGACTGTCTGAACAATATTTAAAAAATATATATGATCAGATGTTTTTAGCTTGCTGGTATATTACTTTTTACTTGTTCGTGATTGGTTAATTAACGAGCAAGCACTTCGAACTCAGTATTGTTTTGTGTGGAGAGACACTGGTAATTCATGGAGCCAAATTGTAAGCTTTTTACATGATCTCCATAAATTTAATTTTTCTCTCTACATTATGTTTGTCAGGGTACAATGATAGCTATTTTTGTTATAAACTGCAGCCTGTAGCCTGACATTTTGGAGGAGTAAGCTCAAAGTGACGTCGCGTTTCGAGTTTAGGTAGAGATGTTGGTTTAGTAAAGTAAACAGTTCCACAGAAACGTTCCTCAGTGTACGTGACATACATTTAATGTATTCAATGTATGTCTTGAACAAAGAGTAGGAAATGTATAAATGACAAGAATTTTGACATTAAACCCAGCAATCGTATTCTCACGAAACGGTATCAACGTCTTACAGAAAGCGTCAAATTCAAGCATTTGGGCAAATTTTGTTAAAAAATCACCTCGCCATCCACATGCACAATCTTCTAATTTTCTCGATTCTTCTTTTGTTGATCTCATGGATACCTGATGACCTTTATGCTAAACTGAATGGTTAGTTTTCCTTAATATTTACATTAAGTAAAAAAAAAAGTTTTAAAAAAGAACTATTACTTTATTTGATCGTTTGTAAGCCGATGATTAAGTTTGGCTCTTTACACGTACGTGAAAAGAGGTCATCACAATCCTTTACTCTAAGCCAGAAAAGAAAGGTAAGGCTTTTCCGAAATGAAATTTCGCGTATTGTTCGTCATGACTACAAGGCGGAAAATTAAAATGTAAAAACCATGTTACGAGAGTTGATCCAAATTAAACTTTACTCCTTGTGGAACTTATGGCTTAGAGAAACCAATTTCGATATATTATGAAATGTGTTATTCATTGGTGATCTTCTAGATCATTTCTTTTGTTTTATTCCCCTTATAGCCTCTGAGGCAAGTATGAATTTTAAGATATCGAAATTGGTCTATCCACTAGACAGTGTCTAAACCTGACTACTTCTCTCTCTCTCTCTTTTTTTGTTTTGTATGCTTGTTTGTTTTTTATTTATTAGTCGAAGTGAATCAGTCACCACTCACTGGTCAAGTGTTGTTTCCTTACATTTATTATAGCAAATTATATTTCAAAATCGCTCTCCCTGAAGAATTCAACAATTATTTTTTGTATCTCCCAGAACTCCGTCAAGATGTCTATATAAAAGAAGAGTACCATTATTTAAGCGTGCCTAAAGTTGCAACATTCACAGTGTACGACAGCCTTGACTGCGCCTTTAAATGTCTCCGCAATCCTTCCTGTTTGTCAATCAACCTGGCAGCTTCCAAAGGAGCAGATGGAAAGTTGTGGTGTGAGTTGTTATCCTCAGAAAAGTACAGCAACCCTAAGGAGTATAAAAGGAACAAGAGTTTTCATCACTTTTTCCAAATGGTGGGAAAAATTCTTAACTCCATGTTTACGTCGCGTACCAGGATAGTTATATCTTAATAACCCCCCCCCCGCCCCCGCCCCTACCTACATCAAAAAAACAAAATAATAGTAACGTTAATGACGCCAATCTTTATGAATTCTCTTACAACCCATGACAGATCAGAGAACACTTCTGGTCGGGATTGGCCTGTCTATTAACCTATTCGCTCTTAGAGATTTTGCCGAAAAACGCGTTCTTAAAATGAAACCACTTACAGCCAATTCAGAACCACCAGACTGCCTGTGCCGAGACTTGAACAGCCTCCCGCTGTGAGGAGGTCGAAAAGAGTTAGAAGTCGACCAAAAGCTCTGGGCGACTATGTTCAGTATTGAACTTGACTATGACCTAGTCACTTGCATGTTTCTTTATGTGACAAGAGACATTGTTACAGAGTTTATAAGTTAAGGACTTTGAACAAGAAAAAGTTTGTTTACCTTGTTTGTTTCAAATAAGACCGTATTAGCTTTTTCATTTGTTTTGCTGCGGAATATATGTAAGTTTTTGTGCGAGAAAGAGAGATCTAGAGAATGTACTACAGTGTACAGCGGTTTTGGCCCTTACTTACATCCGGGACTTGCATCCTGGTTGATTGAAATGAGAGAGAGCGCGCGAAGAGAGTTGTTACTGAGTGTTCGGGCGGCCGTGTTGTTTTTAAGCCCTTTCAATACTACAGTGATCCCCATTTTAATTCTACAATGTTAAAAGTTATGATAGGTGAAAAATACAACGGAAAAAATGGTTATCTTGTTCAATTAGAAACATAAAAGCGAAACATCATAAAGGGCTGTAATTTTAAAGAGTTTTGGTAACTGTGACCTTCATAGTGTCTTAATTAGAATGTAATACAGCCGCCGCCCGGCCAATCGCTCCGGTCCAGGCTACAAGGGATATTTTCGAGAAAGGCGTTCTCTCGCGAAACGTCTTAGCGAAAGAAAGTGAATTGAGAGCCAGCTGTATCACAGGCTAAGCTTCTTCTCAAGACGAACTGTCCCTGTAACTTTACAAAAATGTCTTTTAGCAACATTTTTCTATCGATCAAAGGTTCGTATCCATTGTTATTTGCAGTCTCCATGCATGTCATCACCGTGCCAAAACGGAGGCACCTGTGTAGCGAACTACAAAAATTACAATTCCATGGAATGCCATTGTAAAGAGGGTTTTTTTGGAGAATTTTGCGAAACAGGTAATGGCTCTGAATAAATTAATTCCTTAGGAGTATAGAGTGTTTTCACTCACGTGGCCAGCATATATGCAAATTTATTGGAACAAAAGAAAGCGTTTGCATAAGAAAAGAGTTCAACTCCCAGAGGACTGGTTTGGGACACCAGTATGGCCGCCGTTTCATTGTTTTGGGACACCAATATGGCCACCGTGACGTCATGTGAAAACACTCCATTGATTAAAATTTTGATTAAATTAAATGTCTTGATAAGTATCATCATTTAATTTTCTTATGTTTATTTATTTATTTACCTTATTCATTTTTATATTCAATAATCTCTTTTATAAGAACAAGTTAACTAACTTAGAAGAAAGAAAAGAAGAAGAAGAACTTTACAACACACACATGATGTGATTCTACAAACAGAAGCTGTACTGATCGTGAAGACCTCCCACCTTTGTTAAAATCCGGGGGGTCTCCTGTATAAAAGTGACAGGGATGCTCGTCGTCTCGTCGTAAATGTCTCTCGTAAATGTCTTGATAAGTATCATCATTTTATTTTCTTATGTTTATTTATTTATTTACCTTATTCATTTTTATATTCAATAATCTGTTTTATAAGAACAAGTTAACTAACTTAGACGAAGGAAGTTTACAACAAGTGAGAAGCTGCATGTAGTGATCGTGAAGACCTCCCAACTTAGTTTAAATCCGGGGGCCTCCCATATAAAAGTGACAGGGATGCTCGTCGTCTCGTCGTGGAAATTGTAGATTTTGGTCTCACTTGGAAAGTT